TATTATTTCAATTTCGATATGAATCTTTTCCCAAAAAGTTACTATTAAAGGACAAGCCCAAAACAAATGGTAGTGATGTGCTAACTGAGAACCACATTTCCTCCAGCAGCACATCTGTTCTTTTGACGGTGTCTGAATAAAGCTTTAGTTGTGGGTCATGTAATCTGAAGAGCATCTTGTGAGTCCTCCCCGTCTCTAACCCCCCTCTCTCTCCTCAGGGCCTCCCTAACCTGGTGGAGCTGAAGCTGGGCAACAACGACTACATCAGTTACCTTCACACGCGCACCTTCACGGGGATAAAGAAGCTGGAGCGCCTGGACCTGTCCAACTGCAACCTGTTCAACATCCCCGACCGCATCTTCATCGAGCAGCCGGCGCTCCACGAGGTCTTCCTCTTCGAGAACCACTTCCGCAGGATCCCCTCGTCCTTCAGAGGGATGGAGAACCTGACGCACATCTACCTGGAGAGGTGTCGCATCGAGGCGGTGGCCTACAACTCCCTGCTGGGCCTCACAAGACTCAAGTGAGAGAAGACAGGAAGTCAAAGTTTATTAAGTTACTAAGGGACTTCTGGCAGGCAGAGATGTTAAAGTACACACATCCTTTCCTCAAGTAGAAGTACACACATCCTTTCCTCAAGTAGAAGTACACACATCCTTTCCTCAAGTAGAAGTACACACATCCTTTACTCAAGTAGAAGTACAGATACTCGTGTTTAAAAATACTCTGGTGAAAGTAGAAGTACTGACTAAACTTCTTTACTCAAGTCAAAGTAAAGAGGCTTTGAAATGTACTTCAGTAAAAAGTACCCATAACTAGCAGCTGTTTTAAAGAGTACCTGACCTCCCTTTATATTAATAGAACAATAATGTCATTGTTAGCTAATGAATGTTTCCATGGTGACCAACGGCAACATGACAACGTTTTCATTGGTCCCTCTTCTTTAGAGAAGACCAGGAAATGATGGATACACGGATCGTGTTCAAATCAATAGGCACGCAATGACTCTAAATAATAATGATCACGCCACCAAACACACATTCAGACTAAAGGAACCAGCCTGTTTGGGAAATGAGAGAAGTAGAAAGTACAGGTATTTGAGTTCAACATGTAAGAAGTAGAAAGTACAGGTATTTGTGTTCAACATGTAAGAAGTAGAAAGTACAGGTATTTGTGTTCAACATGTAAGAAGTAGAAAGTACAGGTATTTGAGTTCAAAATGTAAGAAGTCAAAGTAAAAAGTCCTCAGAAAAATAAGTAGTGGAGTAAAGTACTGATACCAGAAACATGTACTTTAGTAACGAACTATTTGTACTCCACTACTTCCCACTTCTGTGTCTCCTAAACATCTCCTCTTCTTGTCTAAAGGTGTTTTTTTCATCCTTAGTTCTGTCTTTTTAACATCTCTTCTCCTCCTCTCCTTCTTGTTCTCAGGTTCCTGAACCTCCAGGAGAACCGCATCCACGTGATCCACGACCACTCCTTCCAGGACCTGGTGCTTCTGGAGAACTTCTACCTGAACGACAACATGCTGGCGAAACTCCCTCGCTCCGCCTTCAAAGGCCTCGTCTGCCTCAAGATGCTGAACCTGGGCGGGAACAAGCTGACCAACGTGTCCCGCACCTGGTTCGGTGACCAGGTGGAGCTGGAGGTGCTCTACCTGGACAGGAACCAGCTGTTAAACATCGAGGAAGGAGCCTTCGAGAACCTCACCAGCCTCATCACGCTTCACCTGAACAGCAACAACCTCACGACGTTTCCCTTTCCTGTTTTCCAGCCCGTTTACTTCCTCGCTCGCCTCTTTCTTTTCAGGAACCCATGGGTGTGCGACTGTTCCTTAGAGTGGCTGAAAGAATGGATGGAAAGTTATAAACTAGTTCGAGACGTCCCGTGTGCGTCGCCTTCCTCCGTGGCTGGATTAGATCTTTCCGAGGTGGTCTTTGCGAGAGTTAACGAAACCTGCGTGGACCCCGGAGAGTTGAATGTAACCACGGTTTCGTCGCAAATCGTCGCCACGACTGAGAACCGCTTCAACAACCTCATCTCCAAACTCCTGCAGCAGGAGCTCAGGGAGGAGATGGGGAACGGGACGGAAAGTCTGAGAAACGGGACTCTGATGTCTGAGGAGGGGAATCTCTCATCGGGGGGCGAAGGGCGAAGAGGGAACGGAAACCAAACATTTCTCTACTTTCTAGTTGTAGTGTGGATCGTGTTTGATTTGATCGGACAATTAGAGAGTTATTACTGCCTCTCGTGCGCATGAGGGCTTTGGAAATGGTTTCTTTGCTTTGCGAGCGACAGAAGGAACAAGGAGTAGCTTTTCAAATTGACGATGAGATAAAAGATGTTTCATTTCATCCGAGAACGGACGTGGGGTTGCTGTTGAGAGTCTGCCCCGCTGAACGTCTGAACGTCTGGATATTTTTCTTGTGAAATACAAGCGTGGCAAACTGGATATTCTCAGCTATCTTCAGACGAAAGACTGATGTTTACATTTCTACATCTACTATTCTTTATTCTTGTTCGCCCTGCTGAATGGTGACATTAAAGATCACTTATCCATGAAAGCAGGGAGGAACACGGCCAAATGGATATTTTGTACTCTTCTCTAAACTCGTGAGTTTGTGCTGCAAAACGTCATCACTGTCTCTCGAGCACATGAGGACTTTGGAAATGTGGTTTCTTTGCTTTCGGACCGACAGAAGGAGAAGCTTTTCAAACTGCAGATAAAACATGTTTCATTTCATCCAAGAACGGAGCAACAAGCTTTCATTGACGTGGGGTTGCTGTTGAGAGTTTGCCCTGCCAAACGTCTGGATCTCTGGATGTTATTCTTGTGAAATGCAAGCGCGGCGCGAGGACTTTGGGAGATAGTTTCTTTGCTTTCTGACCGGCAGAAGGAGAAGCTTTTCAAATTGCTGATGAGCTAAAATTATGTTTAATTTCATCCAAGAACGGAGCAACAAGCTGTCATTGCTGGTGTGAGTTTGCCCTGCTAAACATCTGGATCTCTGCAGCAAACTGGATATTATCATCTTCTTGTTTGCCCTGCAAGACGGTGGATTTGTTCTAAAGAAAGTTGTGATTAAAGACCATTTATCCAAGCACGGAGGAACACTCGTCCTTAAACGTGCCGGTGTGAGTTTGCGCTGCTAAATCAAATGTAGGATTTCCGGGATATTTCTAAAGGCATTCATTCTCAAATGAGCACCTCTTCTCTAAACTTGTGAGTTTGTGCTGCAAAACGTAGGATTTTTTCTCAATTGCAGATGAGATTTAAGATCATTTATCCAAGAAAGACTGGAGAAATACTCTTCTTCTAACGTGGCAGTACTGGTGTGACGTTGCGCTCCCAAACGCTGGATTTTCGGGATTTTTCTTTTGAATTGAAAGCGCGGTAAAGTGAAGATATTCGAGTCTCTTTAGAGGAAAACACTGATATTTAAAAGTGGCATTTATGTCAAACAAGCTTCTGTTTTATGTGGTTGCTGCTGTGAGTTTGCCCTGCGGAAAATAGGATTTAAAACGGTTTTCTGTTGAAATGCAAGCATGGCAAATTAAAACAATGACTATTTTCCGCTGTAAGAAGACTGATGTTGTCATGGTGATGATGATGATCCTTGTCTGCTCTACAAAATGTATGATTTTTGTTGAAATTACAGATAAGTTAAAACATCTTTTATCCATGAAAGACGGAGGAATACTCCTTCTTTCACGCTGCGTTGCTGGTTTGAGTCTCGCTGCAAAAAGCCGGATTTTCTGGATATTTTGCTGTTGAAATTGAAACTGGAAATGTTCTGCTCTCTTCCGAGAAAAGACTGACGGCATTTATCTCCACATGAGCTGTTCAAATACAATAATCTATGATATGTATAGATTGAATATCCCAAGCATCCTCTTCATCCTCATTAACAGCTGCAGGATCTCCAGCATCACAGAGGCGGAGGATTACTGTGATCAAAGTGAACATGTGAAGCTACACTTTCTGTTGCGTAACGATCAGTTTTTAATTAACATGACGTGAAATTCTTGGTTTGTGACGAGTGTGTTTTACTTTCATTGACATCTCTGTGTGAGGGCACGCTGTAAACAGATGTCTCTCTGCTCCTCTTCATGCAGATATAAACGCTGTGCAGCTTTCCCATAAACTCACTAATCTTCTTACAGCGCTGCAGCGTAATGGAGGCTCTTCCCCATTGCTTTGCCTTCCTTTGCATTTCCCCGTATGGACGTGACCTCGTCCCGTAAAGAGCGGTGTGATCTCCATATGTCAGGTTGTGTATTCGGGGGAGGAGTGAGAGAAAGAAAGGCTTTCAGGTAAATCACAACGAAAAGGCATGAACTGCTCTTGACGTGCAGCACATTCTGGGAACTGCAAAGACTACATATGTCGCGTTCACACCAAAAAGAGCCGGAACTAAAATTAGTTCATCAGAACCTTTTCACCCCCTTTTCCGTCCCTGCTAGAGAGCAGGGAATTCCGTGGAAGAAAAAGGTTCCTATTTCTGATTGGCTGGGCGGAATGCAAACCACGCCCCACAAAACTCCCAAAAAGTTTTGTAAAGCCGCCATTTTATTATCCTCGCATTAGCATGATTAGCATTAGCATTAGCTCAGCGCACAGACGCAGAGAGACTAACTTATGGCAACACAAAATAAAACATGGGAGCGGTGGAGATGAGGAGGTGTCGGCGTTCTGGCGATTTACTCAGAAGGCTTCAATAGAAGCTGCTGGGAGTCCCAGCAGCTTCTACTGAAGCCAGTCCCCAACTCCGGGACTTCCGGGCGGGGACTTCGGTTGGCAGTATACGCCGTGAAGTTGTTTGCGGCCTGCCAGTAAACCCAAAGCAGAAGAAGAAGAAGAAGTGACGTCAGCGGCTTCATTTGCCTAATCCTCCCTCAGGGATTTATTCCGGTGTGAAGGCGATCTGTACTTAGTTCATGAGAACTAAAGAGTTCTCATGAACTAAGTTCTCATGAACCTTTGTGGGAAAAGTACTGCGGTGTGAACGCGCCTATTGTGCCGACATGTAGTATAGTTACTCATGCTGCAAAGTACAAGTGGTGGGAAGTACATTTACTCATGTGCTGTACTTTAGTATTTCTATTTTACGCGACTGTTCTATTTTTACTTCTAGTTCACTACATTTCAGAGGCAGATAGGGTTGTGTTTACTGCACTACGTCTGTTTAAAACTCACAGCACCGAGCTGCTTTGTGCATATAAAAACACATTGACTGTTCATAATGTGCAGCACATTCTGGGTATAGTACAGATATATATGTGGTGACGTGTAACTGAGTACAGTGTGCCGCTAGTGTGTTTTTAGCAGTATGTAATCGAGTAAATGTACATTTCATATAGTCTGTGCAGTACCCACAAGAAAGAACAGTCCATGTGTTTTTATATGCAAAACAGTACTTCAGTGTACAGTACACTCAAGTACATGCTGCAAAGTACAAGTGGTGGGAAGTACATCTACTCGTGCAGTATTCAGTATTTCTATTACACACGACTGTTCTATTTTTACTTCTATATCATTTCAGAGGAAGATACTGCACTAAATCTGTTCCAAAGCCAGTTACCAGCTGCTTTGTGCATATACAAACACATGAACTGTTCTTAATGTGCAGCACAATCTGGGTACTGCAAAGACTTTATATATAGTGAAATGTAACTGAGTACAGTGTTACTCAAGTGCAAAGCAGTGGTGGCGGGAAGTACATTTACTCATGTGCTTTCCTTTTTCATACTTTTACTTCAGTCATTTATATTTTAACTTCTAGTTCACTACATTTCAGAGGCAGATAGGGTTGTGTTTACTGCACTACGTCTGTTTAAAACTCACAGCACCGAGCTGCTTTGTGCATATAAAAACACATGGACTGTTCTTTCTTGTGGGTACTGCACAGACTATGTGAAATGTACATTTACTCGATTACATACTGCTAAAAACACACTAGCAGCAAAAAAATATGTGCTTTTTATGACACTTGTACTTCATTTGAGTATTTCTGTTTTATGCTACTTTTCTATTTTGACTTCATTCTTCTAGTTTCTAGCTACTTTTGCATATAACAACACATGGTATGCTGATGATATAAAGAATTTTAGATGCAAATATAAAAACAAACATATATACGTTTTGAAAATGAGTTTAAAATGTACTCCACTTTAACAAAGTACTGCATCAAAATGCCATTGCATGTATTTTTTACATCTAAAAACAGAATAGTATAAAACATTTTGATATTAAAATACTGTGAAAGTGTGACATTCTGCATTTTTATACTTGTACTGGTAAAGTATCTGCCTGTTGATTTAGCATACTTGTACTTTACTTGAGTATTTGTACTTTATGCTACATATACTTTAACTCCACTACATAGGTGTGTTTTATAAAAACACATGATACAATGCACCACTGTACAACTAAACATCCCAGTGTTTTAATAAAGTACCTCAAATGTGCTCCACATCAACAAACCACATGTATTTATACCTTTAAAACGGAATAATATAATATTCTATAATAATAATACTGTGAAAAGAGCCACTCTGCATACTTTTGATACTTGAGGTACATTACGCTGATTTAATCTACTTCTCTTGAATTAAGAGTATTTTTAGACCAAAGTACTTCTACTTTTACTGAAGTACATGATCTGAGTACTTCTCCATCCTCTGACCGTATTTATATATAAACTGATGTGTTCTGTGTTGCTGGAAATATTAAAGAACATGTTCTGAGACGTATTTTATAGCCTGTTTGGTGTTTTGTGACCCGGTTCAGAGGTGTTGTAACAAAACGCTGCGTCACATGATATATTTTTATAAATTGAAATAAAATATTGCTGTTGAACTTTTGACTGCTCGCTGACTGCGGTGAACGCCGGATGATCTGCGGCCTGTGGCCTCTTAATGCGGGATTAAAAACAGCTGCAGAGGCTGAAACATACCAGGTTTATGAATACATAAAAATATATAGAAGTAAAAAAATATATACTATAGCAGGTCAAAAAATACATGTAGTAGGTCAAAAAATACTTAGTGTAGTAGGTCAAAAAATACATGTAGTAGGTCAAAAAATACTTAGTATAGTAGGTCAAGAAATACTTAGTGTAGTATGTCAAAAAATACATGTAGTAGGTCAAAAAATACTTAGTATAGTAGGTCAAGAAATACTTAGTATAGTAGGTCAA